GAGCTATAAACGCAGATCTCATAAAGGATAATCCATTCATGAGTGATAATGGTGAAACATTTTGTGCCAGTAAGGGGTTGTTTCACCACTTTAAAGTGATAACTGGGTTTCATAGCATAACTAGGGATGGTGAAGCAGCCAGTGCTGATAAAAGGGCTACTGAAAATTACATAAACCACTTTGAAATGATGACATAGAGAAATGGCTTTTGCTCTCATCAAGTTTTCAACTGTGATGAAAACTGGGCTTTTCTGGAAGAAAATGCCCAGGAGAACATACATAACCCAGGAAGAGAAGTAAATGCCAGGCCTCAAAACTATGAAGGATAGGCTAACCTTATTGCTATGTGCCAATGTGAGTGGTGACCTCAAGATAAAACCTCTCTTGGTTCATCACTCTGAGACCCCTAGAGTGTTCAGAAAATATAAAGTCATGAAGAATAGGCTAGGGGTCATGTGGTGATCCAAAGCAAAAGCCTGGGTAACAAGTGTACTTTTTCTTGAGTGGATCAGGGAGTCTTTCTATCCTCCTGTTAAACATCTAGTTGACAAAGGTTTACCACTCAAGGCTCTCCTCATCATGGAAAATGTTCCTGCTCCTTCTTTGGAAGAATTGGCTGAAAAATTTCCATAGCTCTCAGTCGAGTTCCCTCCACCTAATACAACTCCTCTACTGCAGCCTATGGACCAGCAGGTTATAGCTAACTTTAAGAAGCTATACACCAAGGAACTGTTCCTGATGTGCTTCTAGATAGTCTCAGATACAGATTTAACACTTGAAGAGTTCTGGAAGGAACATTACAACACTTTTTCCTGTATGGGTTTAATTGAGAAATCCTGGGCCAGTGCCTCTCTAAGAACACTGGGATCTGTCTGGAAGAAAGTGTGGCCTAAAATTATATAGGAGAGAGACTTTGAAGGCTGTGTAGAGGAGCTTGAGCCTTCAGTTGACCCTGTGGTTGATGACAGTGTCACTATAGCAGAGTCCATAGACTCACAGGTAGACAGTGGTGATGTTGAAGAACTGGTGGAGGAACACTCAGAGGAATTGTCTAGAGAGGCACTTCAGCAACTTCTGACTGAGCAACAGAGAATGGCAGCTGAGGAGCTTTCTGAAGAGGAGGGAGAGTATCAACAATCAGTGGAGCAAAGTTCTGAAATAAAGGAAATCCTGAAAAAATGGACAGAACTACACACATTTGTAGAGAAGACCCACCCAGACAGAGAAAAAGCTAATTGTTTCATTCACTTGCTTAATGACAATGTCATATCATACTATAGAACAGTGTTAAAGAAAAGACAGAAACAGACAACCTTAGACCAGTTTTTAGTTCTGAAAAGGTTGAGACTAGTGAGCCAGGAGCAGGTCCTAGTGGGCTACAGACTCTCCCAAGGAGAGAAAAGACACCAAAGAGTCAGATTCCTGATGTTCTTATGGAAGAGGACTCTCCTTCCAACCAATAACCACCATTTCATCCTCCCTTCCTGCCCTTGCCATGTCCTTCCACTTTGAAGCTTGCTAACCATGCACTGAATCCTCCAAAACCATTAATCAAAGTAAACCTATTCTCCTTTAAGTTGTGGATATTGAATATTATGGTCCAGTGATGGGAAAGCTGAATAATACACCATGCATGCAGAAGGAAACTAATGTATATGGTTACATGAAATTTTCATTTGAACATACTTTTGAGAAACATTTAAAAAGCAGGTGGCATGTCTATTCCTCAGAAACAAATGTTTTCTTTTTTTTTGGTACTGGGGATTGAACTTGGATCCTTGTGCTTGCGCAGCAGGCAGCAAAACCACTGAGCTAAATCCCTGGCCCCTCAGAAACAAATGTTTAATGTCAATAAGCTGTAATGCCTCTGAGAGAAAGCCAGTGGGAGACCTTGATAAGATTCCATGGAAAGACCGTTATCTCCATTCCTCTAGTAAAAGTTTTAGCATGGTCGTCCAGCCAGTCATATACACCCTGGAGAACACAGTTGGATTTTCTGGGGTTTGCTTCTGCAAGCCTCAGACCCTGAAGCAATGTTGACCTCGTTGCATGGACTAAAAGGAGAAATCTTGCTTGCAGTCACTGGGAGCCCATGAAATCTAAGTTGGCATGCCATCCATTCCCTCCACTAACTCAGTGTCTTTTTAAAATTTTAAGGGACATTAATAATGTTACACCTACTAAGTGTGTGTGTGTGATCAGTAATTCCTCTAAGTATTGCCTGTCATTTAACATCTATGATAAAAAAGTCAAAAATTCAATGAAGATGTGCCATGCCAAGACATATTATAGCCTGAAATAAAAAGGGAAATCAGTAATACTAATCCTGTCTATATTTAAATTTATAAGTTGTACTTATCATGGAATTTTACATTGATTTTTATTTTAAAATACTACATTAAAAGAACATTTATCTTGATTATTGACTTTTTCTACCACTCCTTCAATTTTATACCTGAGTTGAGTGAATACCATTTTGTTATGGTTTTCTCTTTTCCTGCTTCCTTTTAGACTAATGGAGAAAATTTTAAGATTTTGATCACAGTGTTGGGTTATTGGCTATACCTTTCTTTTTCTAGTGATTGTAGTAGAATTTATAATACTATCATTAACTCATCTCTTCTTTTAAGACTATACATTTTAAAATAAAATACAATTTTCTTAGCAGTATATTATCATTTCACCTTTCCCATCATCTAACCTGATGCTGTCATGCTCACCATACATTGTTACTTATTTTTGGTTTAAGTAAAGAATTTTATTTTTTAAAGATTAAAATATTTTAAAACTTTGTAACATTTACTCATAAATTTTCAGTTTTGACATTCTTAATTTTTTGGTATAGATCCAAGTTTCCACTTGATATCTTTTCTCTTTTTGCCTAATAATTTCTTTTAATTTTTCTTATAGTGAGGAAGTAATTATCCTGCCTTTTGTTTATATGAAATTGTTTTGATTTCTCTTTATTTCTAGAGAATATTTTTGCTCGGTATATAATTCTAAGTTGTTCTTTTCTTTCAGCATGTAAACTATGTAGTTCCACTAGAAAACAAAATCCTAAATTCATGTGGAAACATGAAATACACAGAATAGCCACAGCAATCATAAGCAAAAAGAGAGAAAGGCTGGAGGTATCATAATAACAATATCCAATTTCAAATTATTCTACAAAGCCATAGTAACAAAAAGAGCATTATAGGTAGACAAAAATAGACATATAGATCAATGAAACAGAATGGAGGACATAGAAACAAACCCACAGCTACAGCCATTTGATTCTGGACAAAGGAACCAAAAATATACATCAGAGAAAAGACAGCATCTTTAATAAGTGATGCTGGTAAAATTGAATATCTACTGGTAGAATATTGAAACTAGATCCTTATCTCTCAGCCTGTACAAAAATCATTTCAAAATGGACCAAAGACCTATGTGTATGACCTGAAAAATTGAAACTGCTAAAAGAAAACATAGGGGAAATACTTAAAGCTATAGGTACTGGCAATTTCTTAAATAGAACTCAAATAGCAAAGGAAATAATAACAAGAGGACACAGGAATAAAGGAGCCTTTCTGCACTGCTGGTAGGAATGTAATTAGTACAGCTACTATGGAAGTCAGTATAGAGGTTTCTCAAAAAACTAAAAATAGAGCTACCATTTGATCCACCTATATTAATCCAAGGCAAAAAGTCAGCATACTCTAGAGATAGCTGCATACCTGTTTTGCAGCACAAGTCACAGTAGCCTAGATATGGAACCAGTCTGGTGCTCATCAACATATGAATGGATAAAGAAAACATAGATATATACAATGGAGTATTATTTAGCCAAAAGAATGAAATTTTCTGTCATTTTTTTGAAAATGGATGGATCTGGAGACCATCATGTTGAGTGAAATAAGCCAGATTCAGAAAGACATATATCATATATTCTCCCTAATATGTGGAATATAAAAATATTAAAAAATGACAAGAAAGTAGAAGGGAGGCTATTATTAGACAAAAGGAAGGGAATAAGGGGGAGAGAAAGGGGTGTAAGGCCTGGTAATAAGGGAGATGGATATAATCGAAATGTATAATACACCTTGAGTCCCCCCATGGGGCAAGAAGGGTGATAGGGAATGAAAAAGATCAAAGTATGTTACATGCATGTGTGAACCTGCCAAAGCAGGTTACATCTAATAAAAAGATGTAAAAATGTTCTGTAGTTTTGCCTTGTTTAATTGCGTATGAGAAGCCTGTTATATGCTTACCTGCCTTTCTATATACGCCTACACTCCACCCCAGCTACTTTTGAAACATATTTTCAGTTATTCACCAGTTTACTTGTAATAATCCTTAATACAGTTGGGTCTTGTACTCTTGCACTTATCTATCTTGGGACTGATCGATTCCTTATTTCCTTTATTTTGTCAAGTTATTTGGTTGGTTGTGGCAGGAGAGTAAATTTCAATCCTTACTTCCTTATGGCCATTTTAGATATTTTCTTCATAGGTATTTTAATTAGAAAAGAGACTTTCATAAAATCATAGATTATCCAAAGCAAAGAGTAGATGGTAGAACCAGGAACTTGTCTAATAATATTATCACATAGGGAGGGTCTAGGACTGGAAATGCTCAGGGCAGATAAATACCTGGGAAAGGGGTCAGAAAAACACAAGAAAGATTGTATGGAAGCCTGGTCCTCTGGACCTCAGGTCCTGCCTTGGCCCCACCCCATTCACCTTATTTTCAAGCCACTATTCTACCTGGCGCTTTCCTCATGCCACAGGGCCTCTGAATAGGGAAGTTATTCTTTACCATCAGTAATATGATTATTATATTAAAGATTGGTCCCTGGGATAGAAAAATATCCACATCAAAATTGGTTGCTGAGATATGAGAGGAAATAAAGAGCCTTAGTAAGACCTATGATCTTGAAGGGCTTTCTGGGGATTCTGCCTGCCAAAATAACTAAGTTCAGCTTATTCATTCCTTACCCTCCCTTCCTCTGCCTGCAGTTTTGATAATGTGCCTTATCTCATGCATGACTATGACTTGAGAAGAACAACCAATATCAGAGAGGTCATGCCAGAGGCTGCTTATAGTCACCCTTCCTCCTTCAATTGGACTACTTTGTCAACTCTGAATGCTGGTGAATGGTTCGTACGGCCAGAGGTAAGACACATTCCCCAGTTTCCCAAGCTTGATTGAATTTCTCTTCTGTATGGGTTCATGTGCTGCTCCTGGAGATAAAGGCCAGAGGTAAAGATAGACAGTGTGGAGTCCATTTGTTCCTAGTTAGGCAGCAGGACCATAGCATTGGCACTAGGGCTTTTCTGGTAAAGCAATCAGTTATTGTTGCTTTCTACATTCACCAGAAAGTTTGAACATAAACTTGTAAACTTACTATTGTGATATCATTCCTTTTTACCTAAGCATTTGGTAACCTTTGATATATCTCTACCATGTAGGTAGCATTTTCTTTTTTTTTTTAAATTCTTTTATTGGTACATTTTAGGTATACAATATGTTTACATTTATCATTGGGTGTTTGTACCTGTACATGATGTATCTTAGTTCTTATTTTTTCCCATTACCTGTGTGCCTTTCACCCCCTCCAACCTTCCCTATTTACATGGATTTCGT